AGTCAGGAAGAGGGTACCTCCAAGCAGTCTTATTTCTCTCCGGCACCACTCACTTCGGGATCTCATAAGCTCTCACCTCCAATTCCTGAGAATGTCCAAAGTCGTCTCTGTACTGTCAGCAGCTTCACTTCTTCACCATCATTCTACCCTGTACACTGCGTTCAAGTGATCTTGCCAGAGCTCATATCTGATTATATCATTTCACCTCTTAAAATCCTCCTAAGGCTCCCCGTGGCTTCTCAAATAAAGTCCACAGTCCATAGATGGCCCCCAAAGCTGATAATCACCTGGCCCCTACCCATCTCCCCAAGCTCACCTCGTGCCTCCGTCTTCACATGTGATCTGTGTGTACTAAAAGGAACCCCTTGTCGTTCCCGAAAACTGGCCTTCGTTCATGCCATTCAAAGGCCTCATGCTTGGGATCCCTGGGTGGCGCAGCGGTTTAGCGCCTGCCTTTGGCCCAGGGCGCGATCCTGGAGACCCGGGATCGAATCCCACGTCGGGCTCCCGGTGCATGGAGCCTGCTTCTCCCTCTGCCTGTGTCTCTGCCTCTCTCTCTCTCTCTCTCTCTCTATCATAAATAAATAAAAATTAAAAAAAAACAAAGGCCTCATGCTTTTGTACATGGTTTTCCCATTATCTGGAGTTATGTCATCTGTAATTTACTATAAAAATACTTTAGCACTGATGGCTTGATTTTATTTTCGGCTAAGAGCTACTCAGTTTAAATTTCAACCACAGTAGCAATCAGTCTCCCTAGTCGTGAATCCCACTCCAGGATTGGTCAGCTTTCACGATATCAGAAAGGTCACATTTCAGAGGGGGCTGCAACCAGCGCAGTTACTGGTGTCTGGATTAACACTATACACCTTGCTAATTAGCAGAGGAATGCCAGTATGAATTTTTTTTTGGAGAAAGGAAATTAGTCATTAATTGATGCAGCTGTTAGATGATCACCCATAATGAAAATGAGCTGGTAGTCAAGATCTTAAGATTCCCCTGCATAAGCAAGTTGTAAGAATATAGCACATCCTATACAATACAGCTCAAAATGGATCAGGGCACCTGGGTGGCTCAGTCAGTTAAGCATCTGCCTTCAACTCTGATCATGATCTCAGGGTACTGAATTGAGGCTCACATTGGGCTCTCTGCTCAGGAGGAGTCTGCTTCTCCCTCTCCCTTTACCCCTCCCCACTGCCTGCTTGTGGACACTCTCTCAAATAAATAAATTAAATCTCTAAAAGATTTTTAAAAGTGGATCATTGATCTAAATATAAAACCTGGGATCCCTGGGTGGCGCAGCGGTTTGGCGCCTGCCTTTGGCCCAGGGCGCGATCCTGGAGACCCGGGATCGAATCCCACGTCGGGCTCCCGGTGCATGGAGCCTGCTTCTCCCTCTGCCTGTGTCTCTGCCTCTCTCGCTCTCTGTGTGACTATCATAAAAAATATAAAAAAATAAAAAAAATAAATATAAAACCTAAAACCATAAAACTTCTAAGAGAAAACTTAGGACAAAAAATTTTTGTGAGTTTATTTGGGCCAAGATGACTTATGTATGACCCAAAAACACCATCCATAAAAGAAAAAAATTATGAAGTTCATCAAAATTAAAAACCATTTTTTAAAAGACATTGCTAAGATGAAAAGGCAAGCCAAGGAGTGGGAGAAAATATTCCCAAAATGCATATCTAATAAGGGACTTGTGTCCAGAATATATAAAGAACTCTCAAAACTGAAGAAAACAAACAACCAATAAAAATATTGGGCAGGGTGCACCTGGGTGGCTCAGTGGTTGAGCATCTGCCTTCAGCTCAGGGCATAATCCTGGGGTCCTGGAATCGAGTCCTGCATTGGGCTCCCTGAGGGGAGCCTGCTTCTCCCTCTGCCTGTGTCTCTGCCTCTCTCAGTGTGTCTCTCATGAATAAATAAATAAAATCTTAAAAAAAGGATATTCGGCAAGAATTATGAACCCAAAAGTATATGGATGGTGGATAAGCACATGAATATATGCCCACCATCAGTAGTCATCAAGAAAATGAAAATTAAAACCACAGTGAAATACAACTATATATCTGTTAGAATAAGTAAAAATAATTTTTTTAACCCAACAAACACCCAAAGGCTTTAGCTGAAGTGAAATTTCTAACAAAGAAAAACAAATACTGCATGATATCACTTATATGCAGAATCAAAAAAAGAAGTCAAAATCATAGAAACATAGAGCAGAAAAGTAGTGGCTGGGGGTTGGAGAAGTAGAGGTTGGTAAAGGTACAAACTTTTAGTATAAGATTTGAATAAGGTCTCAGAATCTAATGTAAAACACGGTGACTTTAGTTGATAACACAATACCATATAATTGAAATTTGCTAAAATGCTAAAAGTGTAGAACTTAAATGTTCTCTCTTTTTTTTTTTAAGGATAAATATGTGACAGACATATTAATTAACTAGATTGGGGGAATCCTTCAACAAGATGTATGTCTATCAAATCAAATCACAATGTGTGCTTAAAATGTCTTACAATTTTGGGGCACCTGTGTGGCTCAGTTAAGTATCTAACTCTTGGCTTTGGTTCCGTGATCTCAGGATCATGAGCTCGAGCCCCGCGTGGGGCTCCACACTCAGCTTGGAGTCTGCTTGTCCCTCTCCCTCCCCCTCTGCCCTCCCCTTGCTCTTTCTGTCTCTAAAAATGAATAAACACAACCTTTAAAAAAAATCAGTAAGCTCTGGTGCATCATTGCTGGTAGGAAAGCAAAATGGCATAGCTCCTTTGGAAAACAATTTGGCTGTTTCTTATAAAGTTAAAATAATCCTTACTACATGACCCAGCAGTTCCACTTCCAGCATTTACCTATGACAAATGAAAATTTATATTTACACAGAAACCTGTACACAAAGCAGCTTTATTTATAATCACCCAAAACGAGAAACACCCCAGATATCAACTGGTAACTAGGTAAACTGTAGTATTTCCATGCAGTGGGAATGTGCTCATCAGTAACAAGGAACAAACACAACATGAACAAATCACAAATGCTTTAAGCAGAGAGAAAGAAGCAGAACTCCCAGAGCTACACACTATATGATTCCATTTATATGGCACTCCGGACAAGACAAAATTCTAGGGAGCGTAAAGAGATCAGTGGTGGCCAGATCCTTGGGGTCTGGGTAGGGCTTGATGGCAGAGGGGCTCAAGGGAATTCTGGGCATGATGATATCGTTCTATAACTTGATTATAGTTGTGATGATACAACTGTGCATTTGTCAAAACTCATAGAACTAGACACTGAAAAGGGTGAATTTTACTGTTTACAAATTATTTCTCAATAAACCTTACTTAAAAAAAGGAAAGATGACAGTCAAGCCTGAAGCTCTATCATTAGGAATAATGCCCAAAGCTTTTGCAGTCATTTGTCTGGAACATTTCCTGTCACCTGATGCAGACCATGAGGGCAACAGCGTTTTCACTCTGAAGGTGTTCACGTCTACCTCTAGTAAGCCTCCCATGGCACGATCAAACAGCGCACCCAAAACAATAATTCGGACTTCACAGGGCTTAGAGTACAGTCTGTATGAACTATGCCTGCCAATGGATGGAGGATTTTGTTTTCTTTTCTTTTTCTTTTTCTTTTTTTTTTTTAAAAAAAGCCTGTGAGGTAGAATTATTTGGACTGAAACTTGCTTTTGTTACTGCTTAACACAAAAGTCACAGAGTAGCCAGTCCTTACCCATCTCAGACTTCTTGGCAGTTACCAATAACTACCAAAGAGAACCTAGGAAATGTGCATGGTCAGAATGACTCAGGCTGGGCAGCCCCAGTGGCACAGCCGCTTGGCACCGCCTGCAGCCCAGGGTGTGATCCTGGAGACCCGGGATCGAGTCCCACATCGGGCTCCCAGCATGGAGCCTGCTTCTCCCTCCATTCAGATCATCTTGTTTACTTAGGTATCACCTCCTGTTGCAAACCCTTCCTGACACCCCATGGCAGATGTCCATGGCACACTGACACATGTGCTTCAGACTGAGACACTTCTGAAAAGAAGAGGCCTTCTTTGGGGTTTTTGTATTGGGTTGTTTTTTGTTGCTGTTTGGTTGGGTTTTCTTTTTTAAAGATTGTATTAATTTATTCATGAGAGATATGGAGAAAGGCAGAGACATAGGCAGAGGGAGAAGCAGGCTCCCTGTGGGGAGCCTGATGTGGCACTCAGTCCCAGGACCCCAGGATCACAGCCTGAGCCAAAGGCAGGTGCTCAACTACTGAGCCACCCAAGTACCCCTGTTTGGCTGGGATGTTTTGGTCTGCCCCAGGAGGCTGTGGAGTCTTTTAGGGCACAAATCATGTCTCACGTTCCCAAGTGCGAACACAATTTTATTCTTAAATAAATAAGTAAATTTATTTTAGTGTTTTGCTTAAGTAACAGGCTAATTGTAATAAGAGTGATGATAGCCAACACTTCCAGTGCACTTGCTCTGTGCCAGGCCTATGCCATATGCTTGGTACTCAGTAGCTCCTCAGAGCACCTTATGAGGTAAGTGTTGTTGTCATCCCAGGTGCACAGATAAGGAAACCAAGACATAAAGGAAGTGACGCGCCTGAAGTCACACAGCTAGTAAATGTTGGAATTGGGAATTGAAACCAAAGTAGTATCATTCCAAGGCCAACTCTTTAGAGCTCTGTGAGTTTTGCTACAGCAATATCTTTTAAAAGATAGAATGCTTTTCACATTATGCATATAACCCAGTCTTTGAAAGGAGTTTTAGAGCTCATTTACTGCTCAGCCCAATGTTTGGATTAATAAGCAAGTGAGGATCACAGAAACTGACTGGCTCCAGATCACTCACTTATTCGTTAGATGGCTTTCTAGTGAACAAGCAGAGGAGTGCATAAATATTTACAGGGCCACTGCTGCCTTAAATATTTGAGTATTCTGTCCCAAAAAATTATTCTTTTCATCAGGAAAATATATTGTTAACTGCTTTCTCCATCTTTGCCTTTTTTAGGGTTCACTGTTTCCACTATCTCATCCCCCTTGCAAAGGAGGGGAACTATGCCATTGTTGCTAATGTGGAAAGTATGGATTATGACCCTCTGGTGGTCAAGCTCAACAAAGACATCAGTGCCATTGAAGAGGCCATGAGTGCCAGCCTTCAGCAGCACAAGTTCCAATATATATTTGAAGGTCAGACCCTGCCTCTGTCCCTAGGATTTGTTTTTTCTATACTATTGAAGTTCAAAACTTGTAGTTGTTTGGGTTTGGTTTGGTTTTTCCTTTTTGAATTAAAGCTGCAATATCTAGTCTCTCTCTGTATAGCTAGGTAGACAACAATATGGCTGCCATCTGCTCCTGGTTGGGAAGATTTAATCCAACATAAGGCAGATGGCAGCCTGGCTGCCTCCCTGACATACCACTCGTGAGAGTTGTGTAAATACATAGAGTGGACCATGAGTTAGTTCAGGAGGAGCTCATAAAAGAAAAAGAAGCACACATAAAATGAGAAGATTCTAAAAGAGCTCTCATTGACTAAAATTATCAGCAGAAATGAAAGTTTTCTCTCAAAGAACACGCTATTGTCTGAAAAGAACAGAAACCTCTGATCAGCAGAGATTTTAGGAAGTCTATATCCATAAATGCCTTGGGGCAGGCAGGCAAGGAAGAGTATGAAAGCAAGTTCCATGTAATGGCATTCAGCTTCAACATTTTGAAATATGTGGTGCCAGCCAAATCATTTTTCATGCCGAATTCCTCCCATGGGAAGGACTTTTAGGACTTCAAACTATATTCCCTTCCTTCTTCTTCTGGTTTGTTTACATGTAGGCCTGGGTGGCAAAGGTACCTATGGTGTCTCTCAGAATTAAGCCAATGTTATTTAAAAACAATTAAGAAGTTTCTTTGTGCAAAAGATTATAGAACCTGGGGATAAGAAAGAAATGCTTGGCAATTGCTTGCTTTAAGAATCAGTTATGTCCCCCAAAATGCGGACCAAAAAATAAGAAATCCTATTTTCCCTCTAAATGATGCCATAAAGATGCGTTCTGAAAGGAACTATGCCTAAAAGACTTCAGCCAAAAAGAATTAGTGATTAAAAGGTAAGCTATTCTCTCCATGGCACTGAGAATCTGGAGGCAGTCCTCTGGAGCTGGCAGCTCCGTTGCCCCCCTGAGAAGTCACTCCTCGCTCACTACAGTTGCCTCCTTGCTCTTGACTGTGGCTCTTCCAAGCCCTGTAGTATCAACATTCACAGTTCCTAGACTTACCTTCTCATTTGCCCAGACATTTCTTAACCTCTCATTCGGATGAGTAGCAATTCTCTTCTTGAAATACGGGTGTAACACTCTGACTTAGAATAGAGGGGAAGAAATAATGCATTTGAAGACTTTCTGTGTAAAAACCTCTAGGTATTTATCTGTGATACTACTTTCTAAATTCAAAAGGCATAATACTGAATTTGCCAAGGAGTGGGGAATGGGGGTAACAGAGTCTCAGGCTTCTTTGGTGTGGCAGAAAGGAGTATTTTATCACAGATATTATTTGAAGTTGCTAGTGCATAGTGATCATTTAAAGCAGACAACTTCTACTGGGTTTTATTTTTAATTATTATTATTATAATTTATTATATACATGTACTTACATTTTGTGGGAGGAAGGGAAAACCAAATGGATCGTTGTATTTTCACGTGTTCTTCTCTGCTTCCAGAACCTCCTTACAGAAAAAGAAGAGTTTCCATGCTCTTCGGTTGTTTATAACAACCTGGCATATTTTCTAAGCCCTTGGCCTGGTAGCTTGAGGTATAACATGGCAGGGCTGGAGCAGTGGTTATGTTGCATCGAGCCTCTCCATTTGTGACTACTAGGACGTTGTATACTCTGAAACTATTGTGAGATCAGTGGGTGCAACGATCCTCAGGGATAGATATCCTTTGGTCATTTAAGTTTGTGGAGAATTTGAAGAGAGAAACCCTTCCAGATCGGTGTATAAGCTCATGCAAGGTGGTACTAACCGTCTCCTCTTTTCCCCCCACTGATCTGCGCTGGCCCTTCAGGCCTGGGTCACCTGATCTCCTGCATCCTCATTAATGGTGCCCAGTACTTCAGGCGCATCAGTGAGTCCGGCATCAAGAAGATGTGTAGGAACATCTTTGTCCTTCAGCAGAATCTGACCAACATCACCATGTCACGGGAGGCCGACCTGGACTTTGCAAGGTAGGAGGAAAGATTGGGCTCAGTCCCTCATACCAAAGCCAAGATCCCATTGCCTATAAAAATTACTTGGAAAGGGCAGCCCCGGTGGCACAGCGGTTTAGCGCCGCCTGCAGCCCGGGGTTTGATCCTAGGGACCCTGGATCGAGTCCCATGTCGGGCTCCCTGCATGGAGCCTGCTTCTCCCTCTGCCTGTGCCTCTGCCCCTCCCTCTCTGTGTGTGTGTCTCTATGAATAAATAAATAAAATCTTTTAAAAAAATTACTTGGAAAAATAGATTCTTGGTACTTATAAAGTTAGTTTTTTTTAAAAAAAAAAATGAACCAGTGAGATATTCTTGAGTTTTAGAGAAGGTAATTTTATACAATTATTTTTATTTTAATTTTTTGAATTTTAAATTTTTTTAAAGATTTTATTTACTCACAAGAGACACAGAGAGAGAGGTAGAGACCTAGGCAGAGGGAGAAGTAGGATTCCTGTGGGAGCCCGATGCGGGACCTGATCCCAGCACCCCGGGATCACAACCTGAGCCAAAGGCAGATGCTCAGCCACTGAGCCACCCAGGCATCCCTCTGTACAATTCTATTGGATGTTTAACCTCCCTGGGGCAGAGTTTTTCCTGTTCTCTAACCTAAGTTCCTCTTACTACAAAACTTCAGTAGTTTCTTATAAAAGCAATATTTGCTCATTGCCTAAGATATGTAACATAAAATACAAAAAATAAATAAATAAATGTTACTTATAAGCCTTTCATCTAGAGACTATGACAGTCAGTACAATTTCTCCTGGCTCTGTGCCTGTGCCATGGATACAAGTGAATTATTATACTATGCATGCATATAATTTCTCTTTGTACAAAATTGGAACTATGTTAATGTAATTTTATATTTGTTTAATTGTATTTTCCCATATCAGTAATATTCTTTGAAAACATTATTTTTCCCAAAGCCACTAATAGTCTTGAAAGTACAGTTGATCCTTGAAAACATGGGTTTGAACTGTGCAGGTCCACTTATATGCAGATTTTTTTTTGTACATTACTATTAATGTATTTTCTCTTCCTTATCTTCTTAATAACATTTTCTTTCCTCTAGCTTACTTTGTTGTAAGAATACGGTATATAATACATATAACATACAAAATATGGGTTAACACTGTTCATGGGGCACCTGGATGGCTCAGTTGGTCAAGCATCTGTCTGCCTTCAGCTCAGGTCATGGTCTCGGGGTCCTGGAATCGAGTCCCGCATCAGGCTCCCTCCCTTAGCAGGGAGCCTGCTTCTTCCTCTGCCTCTACTCATGTTCTCTCTCTTTCTCATCTCTCATATCATCTCTTTCTCTCTCTCTCTCTCAAATAAATAAATAAATTCTTTAGAAATCAATGGTTTATGTTATTGGTAAGGCATCTATCTGGTCAACAGTAGACTATTAGTAGTTAAGTTTTGGGAGAGTCAAAAGTTATACACAGATTTGTGATTCATGAGAGGTTGGCACCCCTACCTTGCCACGTGGTTCAAGGGTCCACTGTATTACTTTTGATACCTGAACAAATATTCCACGATATAAATTAGCCATTATTTAATCATTTGCACATTTGTAAACATTAGGATTTTTTCCCCTTTTTTCCCCTCATAAATAACGTGTAAAATGTATGTTTATATGAGTCTTTTCCTCATCTCTTTTCTCTTTCCCATTTGAACCCTTCTTCTCTTCTTGTTTTCATTGTGGGGACAGTGGTTACTCATCGTGAACCATACTCACCCTTCATGTCCTTGAAGGCTCTTCTTTCAAACAGCACTCTTACTTTCCCTGTCCTGGGTTTGCTGATCTCAATTTTTAATGCTTCTTTATAATACACTTTTCCAATTTGAGAGGTGGTTTTATCCTCTCTTCATGTGGTCTCAACACTATCTATACTTTACTTAAATCATCAGACCTTTGGTACTTTGAGGAAAGCAAAAACAGTTTTGAAGAGGATCGATGATGATTATGGTATCCTAGTGCTTTATTCCTGTTTGTACCTTGGTGAATTATTTTGTAAACCCCTTAATGGCTAGGAAGTCATTCGTTTTCAATAGTCTAGAATTCTCCTGCCCAACATTTGTACTCTCATATCATTCCATTCGATTTTTTGATTCCTCAAGAAGTTCTGGAAAATTTGAAACCATTTTAAGACATTTCAGGAAATGATGAAATATTGCATTACTTTGACAGTTATCAAGATCTATATGCTAGGGTCTTTGTTTTGAAAGAAGATAACCGTAGATCTTCCTTTTTTAACTTTTCTTCTCCAATCTAGCCCTCCATTTGTTCCATGGCTACCCTGTTCCTCTGCTTCTCCGTCCTTCTTCCCGGTCTTGTTCTTCCTTTTTGTGAGTATATGGGTGGGTGTGTTCATTAAATTCCCTACTTTAGGCTAAATTTGGTAGAAGGCCTTCTTTGCACAGATTAAGGAAACCAGGTGTGACTGAATACTGCATTTATTTGGTTGCTCTTATGGGGAATGATCTCATTATTGAATTAGTCTATTCATAATAACATTGACAAGGGGAAGTTAAGAACATGGAGGCCCGAGGGATACAGAAGAGCATTACTAATTCTCTGAGGAATATAATTCTTAAATTCAATCATCCTTTTTTAAATGATTTTTTTATTTAGCTGAAATAAGTAAATTAACGGTTTTTGGCAGACAGTATGGGGCCTGAACATGTACTAAAAAACCAGCATCTGAATAATGAAATACTGACTGGGCCATCTTGAGGTTGGCATCAGCGGGCTGTGTGCCAGCAGTGTTTCTTCAGGAATTGAATGGCAACTGAGCCATGCCTCTTATAGTTGGATTTGTGAATGATGTCCAAGGAAGTGGGTATGGGCTGAAATGTGACCCCTTTGGAGAGGTACTACAACTATTGCTCTTTACTCTTAATGGACTATGAAAGGAAATATAGGCAGCATAAATATGTAGCATTGGATGATGCTATCCTTCCAATCTTGGTTCAGAAGACCTCTCCTTTTTTTTTTAAGATTTATATATTTATTTCAGAGAGAGAGAGAGAGAGAGAGAGAGAGAGAGAGAGAGAGCATGTGGCACAGAGGGAAGGACAGAGGGAGAGAGAATCCCAAGCAGACTCCCCACTGAGTGGGCAGCCTGACATGGGGCTCGATCTCACAACCCTGAGATCATGACCTTAGCAGAAACCGAGAATCAGGTACTTAACCAACTGAGCCACCCAGATGCCCCTGAGAAGACCTCTCCTTATTAGATTTGTATGTCCCAAGAGACCAAAACTCTTTCTGTTTGTTTACTTAGTGCCTGGGTCAGAGTGGGTGCTCATCGTGTATACTGGAGGAGTGGATAGGTTTCCAACCAAGGCTTCTTTTGCTGTTGGTGAAAGGCTTGGATAATGACAAAGTTTAGTCAGTCTTTAATGCCCTGAAAAGTTCTTTAATTAGCTTACATGGGTCAGTTTTCTTACGCACTTCTAAAGAACAGCATCCTTCTAGAGCAGAAAGCACTTGACAAAAGGAATCATATATCCCTGCCATTCATTGTCTCTTTCTCCCTCATTTGCTGTTACTCCCCTACATACAAACACACATAGACACACTTTATAGCCTTATTTTTTTTCTGTTCCTGTTTTTGGTAGGGACGGGCTTCATGAAATGGGTTCCATCAATTCCACTGAATTTGAAGCTGTGTAAAATAAATCTAACAGCTACACCAAAATAGCCAGAAATAACAGACTGCAGCAGCGAGCCTCAGCGTTCCGTAAGCAGTGTCTAATCAAGCATGGACAGCATCTGTATTTCCAGCAAATCTCTATAGGAATGTTATCTTCAAACACAGTAATTAATCACTAGTTGCCATGTGTCATAAAACTTACTTAAAAAGTTGCAAGGCTCTTGTGGTTTTTCACCTCCAGAGCCTCCCTGGCCAGTGGAAAATTCAAACACCCTTTATGTAATAAAGAGGAATCTGGAGTGATTCCATTTCTGTTGATTCTTCTACTTGTAGCACTGCTGTCCATCCCTTTTTCTACACACCTTTACTCTCTCTCCAGTAGGAGGATAAATCTCGGGTAAGCAAAGGATCAGCAGAACCTGTATAATCACCAGAATTACAGAGAAACCCTGTCCCCTATGATAATGATCTCTGCTGTGGTTTTGACCCTTTTGACCCCAGAGTGTGTTTTCAGACTCAAGACAATACTTTGTCCTGGAAAAATGACTGCACATTAACTAGAAAATGGAAGGGATTTAGGAGTGTGCCTTTTTAGTTCCTTTCATCAGAAATCATCTTATCCTGAGCTGCCATGCACTTCTCCAGAACTGAGTCTCTGAAAGAACCCAGGAGTCCAGGCACTGTGTCACGGAAGAAGTCTGGCTGGGCACTGAATTTACATTATTGTAATTCAGGCAATTAAGACTAATAAATAAGCAAAATGTAAAGTATCTCAGATGATGATATATGCTATGGTGAAAAATGAGGCATGGAAAGGGGGAAGAGAGTATTCCAGGGTCTAATAAAGGTAACCCACAATTTTAGAGTGGTCACAGAAGCCCTTAATGATGTGTAACATTTGAGGAAAGACCTAAAGGAAAACTGGGAGCAAAGCCATGTGATTATCTCAGGGAAGAGCATATGAGGAAAAGACATGTAGGAGGAAAGAACCAAAGGGAGAAGTATGCTTGGCATTTAAAGAATAGCAGAAAGGCCAGAATGTATGGCTGAAGTGAATGAGCAAAGGAAAAAGTCAGAGATCATGTCACAGGTTTATTCTAAGAAGCTGAGATCTTGAAGACTGTTGCAATAACATTGGCTTTCACTTTGAGTAAGGTAGGAAGCTATCAGATGGTTTGGAACAGAAGACCGCCCTAATGTAACTTACACTGTGAAAGAAACCCTCCTGGCTGCTGTGTTGTAAATAGACATTTCGGGAGGGGAGGTTGCAGACAAGGGCAAAAGCAGAAGGAGCTGTCAGGAAACTATTGCAATAACCTGGG